TGATCCTGAATATAGAAAATCCAAAGTCTTATGCCAAAAAAAAACTATCATAAAAAATAAATTAAAAAGTCTGAAGGAGGGGGCACCTGGGTGGCTCAGTCAGTTAGGCATCTAACTCTGGATTTCGTCTCAGGTTACGATCACAGTTTGTGAGATGGAGCCCCCTGCATCTGGCTCTGCACTGAACAGCACAGAGCCTCTCTCTCTTCGCCCCTACCTTGCTTGCGTGTGTGCACTTGCTCACTTGCTCTCTTTTTCAAAATAAACATTTAAAAAATTTTTGAAGGAGACCAAGTCAATATTTAAAACACTAATTCTGGTGTGCCTGGGTGGTTCAATTGATCTTTACACATCCAATTCTTGATTTTGGCTCAGGTCATGATCTCAAGGTTCCTCGGTTCCGGCTCCACATGGGGCTCTGTGCTAACAGCAGAGCCTGCTTAGGATTCTCTCTCCTCTCTCTCTGTCCCTGCTCCTGTGCGTGTGTGCTCTCTCTCTTTCTCTCTCTCAGAATGAATAAACTTTAAAAGATTCTGTGTTATCATATAAGAAATTATATAAAATTAAAAATTAAATGTAAAATAAAAATTTTTAATTACAACATCTCCAATAGTACCAAAAACATAAAATACCTAAGGACAACATATGTGCATATATTATAACCTGTACCATGAAAACTACAAATCACTACAGAAAAAAATTAAGAAAATCCAAATTAATGGAGAAATATGACCTATCACAGACCGAAAGTCTCAATAACGTAAAGATGTCAATTTTCCTCAATTTGATCTACAAATCAATACACTCTAAACAAAATTTAGGAGGCAACTTTCTTTTAAAAATTGAAAAGCTAATTCCAAAATTTACAGTGAAATGCAAAGGACTTCAAAAAGTCAAACTAGTTTTCAAAAAGAACAAAACTGTAGGACTTACCTGATTTCAAGACTTACTATAAAATTACAGTAATCAAGTCAATTCGGTATTGGCATAAGGGCAGCACAAAGATCAATGGAATGGAATGAAAAGCCCAGAACAGATCATGCCTGTATGGTCAACTGATTTTTGACAAGGAGGCAGACGTAATCCTGCAGAAAGGGTAGTCTTTTCTAACAAAGGAAAAAAATCATCTTGGGATGGGCAAGATCTTTTAGATAGAACACTAAAGACACGAACAACAAAAGAAAAAATTGATGAAATAAAAACTCTTCCTTTACAAAAGAAAACACTAAGAAAACCAGAAAGCAAGGTTGGGGAGAAAACTACATATTTGACAACTTGCATCCACAGTATATAAAGAACATATCAGTATCAAGAAGAGAATGGGGTGGGTCAAAAAAAACAGGCAAAAGATTTTAATAGACACCTGAAAGAAGAATAGCCAATGATACTATTAATCTTAGGACAACACAAATTAACTCCACAAGGAGAGATCACTATACTCATTAGAATGGCTAAAATTGAAAGAAATGACGATACTAACAGTTAGTAAATATGCTGAATGATGGAATTCTCATCAGTTGCTAGTAGAAGTGTTGAAATAACACAACCACATCAGAAAACAGTTTGACAATTTCTTATAAGGCTAAATGTACACTTAAGATATAACTGGGCAATTCTGTATGTAATTATTCACAGAAGAAAAGTTAAAACATCATATCCACATAAACACTTGTACGTGAATGTCATAGAAGCTTCATTCATAAAAGGCAAAAACTCAAACAACTCAACTGTCTATTAACAGATGAATAGCTAAGCAAATTAAAGTACAGGCCAGCAATGAAGACTACTTAATAAAAAAAAAAAAAAAAAAAAGTACTACTCCTGCACACGACAAATTGAAAAAAGAAAAAAACCTCAAAAATATCACCCTCTGAAATAAGCCAGATATAAAAGGACAAATATTCTATGATTCCACTCGTAGAGTCAAATTCACAGACACACATGGAACAGTGGCTACCAAACAGTTGGGGTGAAGGGAGGGTGAGGAGTTATTTTTAATGGATACAGGGTTTGAATGATGAAAAAGTTCTGGAAATGGGATTGTGGAGATGACTGCACAACAATATGAATGTACTTAATACCACTGCAGACTTAAAAATGGTTAAGCTGATAAATTTTATGTACATTTTACTATACACACAAAATCATCTCGCAGAAGGAAAAAAAAGCCAGACAGAAGAGGGTACATACTGTCTGGCCATTTATGTGGCATGTCAGACAAGTAAAACTAAGCAATGATGACAGGAATCACATTAATGGCTGTCTGGAAGGAAGAAACAGACTGTAAAAGGTCTCAACATAACTTTTAAAAATGACCTTACATTTGCTAAAACTCACTGAAATATACACTTAAAACGTATATGTATCAAAAAATGCATACATATGATTGAATATAAGTTGCACTTCTATACATTTTAAAATAAATAAATAAGCTTGAAGAGGGAATGAAATGCAACAGGTAAAAAATTATACTATAGACTAGGGGCACCTAGGCGGCTCAGTCAGTTAAGTATCCAACTTCCACTCAGGTCATGATCTCACAGTTCACAAGTTCAAGCCCCACGCAGGGCTCAGTGCTGACAGTTCAGAGCCTGACGTCTGCTTTGAATTCTGTGTCTCTGGTTCTCTCTGCCCCTCCCCCACTCACAGTCTTTCACTCTCTCTCTCTCAAAAATAAACATTAAAAATAAATAAATAATAAATAAATAAATAAAAGAAAATAATACTACAGACTCTAGGAAGGAGGCTATGTTGTGGTGTACAAAGAAGGTAGTAGCTGAAAGGAAATATGTGGTCAGAGGAGTATTTTATTTCTCAAGATGAAAGACAAATGACTGTATTTAATGACAACAGGAAACCAGTTATTTGAAACCAAGCTAAAAATCCAAAGATAAAAGAATACAAAAGGTAGGAATGTTTTGTTGCCAGTGTTTAAGGAATATGGCACTTCCCCACTTCAATATAAATGAGTCTTGTAAAAGCAAGTGAAAATGGTTTAGGCAGTATGAGTAGAAACAAGTAGACTGAAATATCCAATAGAGGAAACGTAGCAAACTCAAGAAACCTAGAACACGTTATTCCCATATATCTGTACGTTAATGGTAAATACAGTAATAATGGAGTTTTCTAGCAATATAAGCAAATTTATACTAATACCCTGTAGTAACATACTGACCCTCTACCAAGAAACCAGCATTTTCCTGGAAAGCAGAAGGTTGCTGAAACCAAAACAATATGCTCTAATATTTCAGGTATTCTCCAAGCCTGGCAACTGAAATAAAATGGATCACTAAGGGCGCGCCTGAGTGGCTCTGTCAGTTAAGCTTCTGGCTTTGGCTCAGGTCATGATCTCATGGTTCATGGGTTCGAGCCCCGCGTCAGGCTCTGTGCTGACAGCTCAGAGCCTGGAGCCTGCTTCGGATTCTGTGTCTCTCTCTCCCTGCCCCTCTCCCACTCGCACTCTGTCTCTGTCTCTCAAAAATAAATAAATGTTAAAATGGATCACTTAGGACAACAATGGCAACTCAGGACCATTAATATATGGAATCAAACTAATGGTAATAGTTTTCAACGCCATCAAGTGTATGTAAGGATAGCCACAGCCATCTAAGTGGTAAAAAGTTTTGTGAAAAGGTCATTTGCAAGTATGGAGGGTAACTAATGTTTTCCCAACACAAAGAATACTATTTGAAGTTGATGAAAACTCTACTTGGGGGACTAAAACAGCCAAAGAACTCTAGTGAAAAAAATTACCGCTTATCTCAGGTGGGACATCAAATTCAGAGTAAGGTATGTACTCTGAATTCTCACACCCTATATCCTAGCCCCCAAAACATCACTGATGTTATCCTTTATAACTGCAATTACATGATTTGGTAAGGTAATTATTTTTTAAGTTTACTTATTTATTTTGAGAGAGAGAGGGAGAAGGAAGGAGGGAGGGAGGGAGGGAGGGAGAGAGAGAGAGAGAGAGAGAGAGAGAGAGAGACACAGCCAAGTGGGGGAGGGGCACAGAGGGAGAGAGAATCCCAAGCAGGCTCTGCACTGTCAGCACAGAGCCCGATGCAGGACTTGATCCCACAAAACACAAAATCATGACCTGAATCGAAACCGAGAGTCAGATGCTCAACCAACGAGCCAGCCAGGCACTCCTAGCAAGGTCATTTTTTAACTTCAGTCTTTTTAGAAAAGCTTCCACAAACATTATTTTATGGCCTTGACATTTTGAAACACTTCATACAGTCATCTTTAATTAAAAGTAAAGACGGAAAAGATCTATTTCCAAACATGCAATTCAAAGACAAAAATAGTACTATTTTAATCAATTTTTAGGTATGGCCTTTCCTTAAATTTGACTTTTACAATTTGTATTAATACATTCCTCTATATACATTTTCATTTATTAAGTATTTTAAGACCCCAAAACTGGATGTGTGTGTTGACAACTAACTCACTCCAAGTAGATATGCTTCATACATATCATTAATAAACTGAAATATTAAAACCGAATAGTTACAAACTATCATTCTCGAAATTCAAAATCCCTTACTTTGAATCCTGAAAGCATCAGGAGTTAGCAGAATGACCACAGATATTCTTGTGATGAACTACAGTAAAGTCAATGTTCATTTCTGGTCAGATGCTAAACCAAAACCAAAGGTAGTTGCTATGACACTGATTACAACATATCAACCTATATCAACAGCAGCACTAAACTCCTACATTTTCCCTTGTGATAGAGGACCACTGCACATATGTGCACCAAACAATTTGGGAAATTAAATACACAAGAAAATGTAAATTGCAAAGTGGTTTGTTCTGGTTTTTCTTTTTTTACTTTTTTCCTACTTTTCTTTTTTTTGGGGCCACAGAATACCTTTTTTTCTAAGTCTTTGCTTTCATAAGATCAATGATACAATGACATCAAACCATATTTTCGGTTTCTATTTTCAAAAAATTGTCTTATATAATAATACATTTCATATAAGATTTTATCTCACCTGGCCAGTTCTTTAATTAAATTTGCAATGCGTCTTTTGTCTTCGAGACATAAATCCTTCAATGATGCACTCTTTATTCCTCCCTTGCAGAAATTCTAATACAAAACAGAAAAATCTTTTGGTTAAACTTTGGCTAAAAACAATTTTTAAGACTCCATGAGAAGTCTCTTAAAATTAGCCCAGGAGGTAAAAAATTTCTCATGTATCTTTTCTCTGGTGGTACACTCATTACCTGTTTCATTCAAACCTACTATGAACTCAAAACAGGCTAAGGAACTGTCTGTCCAGCAGGGGACATCATAATGTTTACACAGAAAAGCATACAGGAAGAACTCAAAAGGCAGAAATGTCCCTGCTTAAATATTAGGGAATATTAAGGAAACAATGTTCCCTTGGTGAATGACACAAAACAAACACCTACTGGAAGTTACTGAGAACCTTTCCTACATCACAGCCCCTAGGCTGCTTGAAAGCACACTAAGGTTGGCAGCAGAGGCACCAGTTTCTAACCTCTCAGTATATCCTAAAGTTCATTGCACTGGGTACTAGACCAAAGAGTAATAAAAGTAGCTAACACATACCTCGTGCTTACTGCATGTCACGAACACTGTAAGTATTTTACACTTACTAATCCATCTCACTTTCACAACAGTGCTATTAGGTAGGTATTATTTCTATTAACAGCGAGGGTACATATCTTGCCTAGGATACCAACAGTTAAAGTAGCAGAATGAGTATGTGCTCTCAACCACTGAACTATCTCCTCCCTCTCTTGTACTATAAGAAGTTCTCCCAGTACTTGAACATCAAGTACTTTCACGTGAACATCTTTAAAGCAATGAAACTTAGGGAACCACAAGGAAACTAGAGGTAACATGTAAATGGAAGGAAACTTTGGCATTTGGACAACCACAAAGTAGATTAGTCCAATTTCTTCAGGTAGCCAAGGGTAATCCAAGACCTCTAAAATGAATCCTGGAAATACTGATAGTCTCAGATGGGAAATACTGATAGTCTCAGATGGGAAATACTGATAGTCATAGATGGGGAGAAAAAGGAAATTAGATCAAGGAGATGGTAAAAAAAAATGAAAATGAGTTTGGTTTTGGTCAACTCAAGATGCCAGGAGGATAGTCATACAGAAATGTTTAGGCAAGAAGTTGGAAATGTGGGTCTGGCTCTCAAGTCAGAGAAAAATATAAAAGATTTAAACTTCAGCCATACTGTGGGGGCGCCTGGGTGGCTCAGTTGATTAAGCGTCCAACTTCGGCTCAGGT